AAACGAAGGGCATTCTAGCCAGGAGGAGGTTTTCATTTTCGCTTTTGCTTAATGCTTCTGTTTGCCTAGATAGCACACCTGTTACTAAAACCATATTTCATTGAAGAAACCGGCAATCTATGGAATGCCAGGCTATTTTGTTTCCATTATTTTTTCTGTTTCCTTTTGGAACATAAAGCATCTGTTTCTGGTCTATGTTTGTTCACAAGCTTTTGTATTTCTCAGACTGTATAGGAAAGTGTCATCAAAGATCACTGCAGTGTGTGACCACTCTGTGTGGGAGGAAGCCTGTACTCATGTGTCAGAAAGCCGAAACATGGCATCAGCATTACCCCCTTTGCCTCCCGACACCCTGCATCTTTGTTCTGCTGCCTGTACACACGTGACAAGGCTGTCTAGGTAGACAGAGGCTGCCTGGCCTTTGGGAATTCTCCCTTTCTAGCAGGAGGGTGGATCCCAGGAGGCCTGGAAGGTCTCTGCATTTAGCTTAGTGGCGCCCCATCTGGAGACTTAGAGAAGTACAGGGCTTCCTTCCTCATAAAAGGATTCATTAGTAACCAGGCGGAATCTATTCCCCGGGGTGCACACAAGCCCTTTGCACGTTCCCAGCCAACAAACACTTTGATCTGCTCCTGTTGAAAGCCTCGTTAAGAGGAAAGCAGACAGTCTCTTTTACGGCTATAGTATCACACACACACACACTTCACATTTTGATAGAACTCTGCGCTTTACTAAACATTTTCACACCCATTATCACTTCGTTTGATTTAAATGAGTGAACCGTTGAAAAACAAGCAAAGTAACTCTTTTCTCAGAAATGGCTGTGATCTTAGAAGCCACGGTTTCTGTTCATTAAAACGTTGCACTGTTACACCCGTGCCACTAGCATCACGTCTGCTGCCAGCCTCTTGGGGTCTTCTTGCTTCCCCGGAGAGAACAAGAACCTATAGAAAATCACCCAGGGAACTGAGCCCGGCTTGGTGTCAATGGTATTGCTGCAACTCGGATTCTTGGTGGAGAAACGTGTTCCTCTCGGTCTTCCGGACAAGGTCAAATGCCATTAGAGGAGTGTCCTCAGCAAGGGCCAGCACTCAGATTTCCCTTCTTTGCCCCAAACGGAACGACTTAAGTGGTGCAGTTGTTTCTCAGTACCAGATAAAACTGGCTCCAGGATCCCAAAGGATTCCAAAACCCACAGATGCTCTAGTCTCTTCATAAAATGATACCATATTTGCACATAAAACCTGTATAACCTCCTCCTAAACGTTCTAAATCAGCTCTAAATCACTTACAACTTACCTAATACAATGTAAATGTGATGTAAATACTTATTCTATTGTATAGTACTGTTTACAGAGTTATGGCAAGACAAAAAATTTGTACCCATTCAGGTCACATATACTTTTTAGATTATTTTCAATCTGTGATTGATTGGATCTGTGAATGTGGGACCTGTGGATTCTCAGTACTGACTGCTTATGGAAAGGTAAATTTCAAGAGATTCCATCAAGAGGGTGTTGTCTGCCACAGAGCAATACCCAGCAAAGGCTGCAGGGGGCGTCTCCCAACCACAAGCTCTTAGAGTGGTCAGCAGCCTCCCCACCACCTCACTTCCTCCCTGGGCAAGGTCTCCAGGCATCTGGCTCTCTGGGGTCTTTTCTCTGGTTTTCACTCTTTCCTCTTCAGGTCTTACAATTTTTCTGCTTTCTCCAGCCTAGTGTCCTCACACTCATTCTAACCACCTCTATTTCCGTCAGCAGGTACGGTGGGTGACACTGGTCTCAGGCTGGAGCTATGGCATGGAACAAAAGAAAGCCCCCAGCCTTACCTACTCTGTACTCTAGCCAGAGAGACAGACAGAAAACACACACGCGGGTAGTAAATTGCTACCAGACAGTGTGAAGAGCAATAAAAAGGAAATAGGATAAGAAAAGAGGGGGAGACGGGATGGATCGTGATTCTCAACCAGGGGAGATTTTGCTTGCGGTACAATTAATAAACACCTTTTTGCTAAGATTTTGAACAATATCACAGGAACATATTTCACTTAAGGAAGCAAAATATAATACAGTCATATTTTTCTTAAGGCTTAATTAATAAACAGCTTTTTGCTAAGGATTTGCACAAAAACAAAATATACTTAATATAAAAAGAGTGCTCAGATGTCTGTGCTTGGCTTGGTTTCTGTTCTCCCACTTACTGGCAGTTATTTATTCTGAAATGGGAACTTGGACCCTTTTACGATAAGGACTAAGGAAGATGGTGTGAGCCCATCTCGCTCCATGTGTGGTCGCCATGACAATGGTGATGGCGAAGACAAAGCCAGCAGCTGGAATCAGCAGTCACTGGTTATAGTCCTGGCCTTCCCGCTTCAGGTCATGCACTGGGGTTTTTTGTTTGTTTGTTGCTATTAGTAGTAGTGGTGAGATTAGAGGGAGAAATATGTAGTTCTTTGACTTAAAAAAAACTTTAAAATATTTGCTAAAAAGAATTCCACGGGTAACACTCTCTCCTAGTCCTGGGGGTGGGGTTCACCCTGATTTGCATCAGCTTGGTGTTGTCATCCGAAGCCTCTTCCATTTCTCATCACTGTGGAATCATAGAGGTAAGAAAGATAAGAACAAAATTGGTACTGGAGATCAAACCCAGGGGTGCTCTACACTGAGCTCATTTCCAGCCCTTTTTATTGCATTAGTTTTTAGTTGGGAGACATGATCTCACAGTCTAATCCATCCACTCAATAGCTGAGGGAAATGAGGCCCAGCAAACCCACGCAATCGCATCCATGGTAGGATTCTATACAAGGGGCCGAGGGCCCCCGTGGTGTCATTTCAGAGGGGGAGTCGGGTGTGAAGGGTGTCCAGTCACCCCGTCCTCAGGTTGTCCAGTCAACCTTGCTAACCCTAGTCTGCCCTTGCTTGTTTTCTCCTCTAGTATAAAATAGGCCCATGAGGGCAAGCTTCTAGGGTGTCCAATTCTCCTCTTCAGCCCTGGTCCCTGGAGTTTTCCCCAGCACTGAGCAGAGCTGTGTACACCCTGCAGGAGCGCTCACCCCACAGCAGGCCCAGCTGCTCTTGTAGCAGCTCAAAAGTCAGGTGGTGCATCCAAGCCAGACAGAAATGCCCACTCTAGCTAAAACCCAATATTTTTAAACACAGCAGCTACTCGTGTTTGTTACTGCCTTTATGGAGTACAACAATATTTTAAAAGTGTGGAGAGATCAACAGTAAACAAGGGCCTTTGTACACATTACTGGGCTCTTTCCAGTGAACTAATGAACTCTCTTTTAATCGTTTGTTAGTTATCTTTTTATCCTATAAGTTGGCTCTTTTTTCCATTTCAAATCGTTGGGCTGAGTCTGGTACAACCAATGGTGGAAGGGAAAGAAGTGGTTTGGAGGGGTCTAGGGACCAGTGATGATCAGGATGATTACCTAAAGGAATGGTCAGAATAGAGCCAAGTTCACAGCAAGGGCGACACAGTGCTTTTCATCAGATCCCAGAGAAGAAGAGATAAAATGACAGAATGAGCCTATATGTGGTGACTGGGGTATTCACAAGAACTGTCGTGAGTGAGCATGGAGAAGGAGTTCAAGAGGAATTTGGAGAAGCAGTAAAGCCATCTCAGGATGTGGTGTCTGAACCAAATGCATCCGGGTGGGGGCTCACGGGCGCTCACAGAAGTGGCATCAGCAGGTCACACCCAGCTCCCAGATCCCGGTAAATGAAACTCTGGAGAGAGACATTTTGATGGAGGATTAAGCCTGATGGGAGCCCATAGCCTCTTTCTCTGCAATTTTATCATCGCTTGCCTTTAATCCTACAAAGGGCTTTGACGCAGGGTGAAAAGCTATGTAAACATTCAATAAGCAATGTGTCTTTCCACCGCTAAATAATTATACCAAGCAAAAGCTGTTTTACTAGAGAAAATGGAAACTTAGAATAAAATAGGCAGCTGGAATGACTTCCTAAATAATTCAGGACAAAACAAATAAGCAGCCACTGTGAAGGGAGTGCTTATTAAGCCTCAGGTGTACTGTCAGGTTTTGCATAGCCTTCCTTTCATTGGCAAGAAGTGATATCTCTCTGAACACCTGTCTTTGCTAGACAATTCCATTGCTGTCTGTGTTCTGCTTGTGTGGACACAATTCTCTTCCTTGCCATAGCTCAGAGACTTCTCCACTCCAGGGTTCAAGTGCTGAGGTCCATGGTAGCAGCTTGGATGTTTCATCCTGAGTCACTCTTACCAGTCAGCTCGATGGGTCTCTGGCTTCATATCCAGGCAAAATGAAGTTATTCCCCCAGCCCTGGAGAAGAATCGCTAATGAGAATGGTCCCTGTGCATCTCCTCAGATGCTAAATAATAAGTTCTTCAGTTGGTGGCATCCTGTCTTTATTTTGACCCAAAGAAGGACAAAGTTGAGGCCCACACCTTGGCCACAAAACTAGGACCCATGACCCCGGGTATACCCAAGGAATTGGATTTTACACAACCTGTTTAAAAGGGGACACATGACAAATCTCTCAAAGGTCATTGGGAACAGGCGCAATCTGCTTTAAAATCTCAGAAAAGGCGGGGGGAACCCTCAGTGTAAGAGAACGTACAAGATTAATGATCGCCATGCACTTCAGGGAGACGTCAGCAGCAGCTGGGGGAGATCTGTCAGAGGCAATGGGTGCGGTGGGAAAAGGCTGCTGATACGTTCATTCAGTGCAGAATTTGAACTCTGATCCAGGGATACGCACGCAAGTACAGCAGCCCCACCCTTTGCCAAGCACAAGTACCCACAATGCACATGGTGCAGCCATACAATACCAAAATAATTTTTTTGGCTTCTCATTTTAACCTGACCTGGCTTGCTCCCTGCAAGCTACACAATTGGTAAGGCAGCAAGAAGCACAATTATAAGTATTTCTTTTCAAACAATAATGGAAGAAATGTGTTTGTAATGTGAATTTTCATTTTTTAAAATGATCAACTCAAGAAGTCGACTTCTTCTGAACAAGGACATTTTATTCAAATATTTTAAAGGTACAAATATACCAAGTGCATATGATTTTCATGTAATGCATAACATATTGAGTACATTGTGACAGAAGCCAGTGAAGGATGCCAGTCTCAGCTCCACTGATGTCCCGGATGGTCCAACATCCCGGCTGTGCAAAGCAAACATTTCTATAATGACGTGATTATCTGCCTGGAGAAGATAAACACAAACCGTGTAAATGCAGTTTAATTCTAATGATGGCAGGCCAGTGTAGCTGATTTTTAAATATTTTTACCAGATACTGGATTGAATTAATTTTAGAATTTAACTCCACAAATAACCTAACACAAGTAGAGTTTGAATCCATATGTTCTGAATTGGGTATGGTATGCACATGTCCCCCCAAGGATTTGTGTGTTGAAATTAATTGATCTGAGATAGGAAGGGGATGGAAACTCAATCCAGCTGTGGCATTCAGAGCTGAGGCCATCAGGAGGTGATTAGGACTGAGGCGACTGAGGAAGAGCCCCCATGATTGGATGCTGGTAGCTTCCTAAAAAAGGAAAGACCAGAGCAGATACACATGTTCCTGTCTCTTTACATGTGATGCCTGAACTCTTTTAGTAAGAAGGCCATCCCTAGGTGTGGGCCCTTGAACGTACTGAACTGTGATTTAAATAAATCATCTGTCTTTACAAAGGTACCAGCCTCAGGCATTTCATTGTAGTGCTGTAAAATGGATTAATAGACAGTTACATTCTTCCCTATACCTTTTACTATGGTTCATCACAGTCAATACAGGGCTCAGTGCTTAGCTTCCTCTATCCCTGACCTTCCTCCATAGGAGGTAACTGCATTCAAGCAGCAGGTCACTGTTTAAAAAGGAAAAAAGGTAGAGCAAGAGGGCAAAGGCGACCCACAAGTCAGAGCAGCACTACCCGTAAGAGTCCATCAGGACATGAGAATCATCAGAGAATTAGATGATCCAGGAAGATTCAGTCCAAAGTGACAAAGTTAGGGGCCAACAACACCCAAATGGTTAATGAATTGGAATCCAGTGCTGCTAACTCCTCTCCCCACATCTATTGAAAGACACCGGATTTAAAAACAAAAGCAAAGTGTAGCCCCAAACTGAGCCTGGGCAGCTCTGAACCATGAGTCAGCTCTGGCCCTAATGACTTTCACTGGACACAGCACAAGTCAAGTTGTGGGGAGAGGCCTTTCAGGGACAGTGGGCCCAAATTAAATCTCAAATTTCCAGTAGTCTGAAAAGCTTTTTAAAACCACAGAAAAGGGAGCATGTCTTTACACTTAGCAAAGAGGAATATCATGGCTCATTTGTAGATAAACGGGTGTTTTGAATGTGAAATTTGTATCAGGGAAAGAGAAATTTTCCAGAATACTTGTGGTATTCCAGAATGTAGGAGGAAAGTAATATTTTTCTCATTTCAAACTGTGCATTATGGTTTTAGGAGTACATGTTTGTGTGCGTACAGAGGGAGGGAGCGGGGAGAGAGAGAGAGAGATCGCTTCAGGATTCCTATTTCCTTTTCCATCTCTGTGTTTCTGTCTCACCCGGCAGCCACCACTCCCCTCCCCTACACTGCCAGGTCGTTTTCTACTTTTCTTAGATGGCAATGAACTAGAAGTAATGAACTTTTATATTTGGCTGTGATACTGAGTAATTTTTTAAAGACCCCCGTACTCCCTGGTCCTTTTTCCTCCCTGTGGCTTAAGTGGCCCTTCATAGAACCAACCTGACCCCCACCCACCCCTCACCCGTTCTGCTGAGAACACCTCATGAAGGCCTTTAATGGAGACAAGGCTAACTTCCATCCTTAGAGAACTGCTCAGTGACAAGTACTGCAATTCAGTGTCCTGTTTCCATGCTCCCTGGCCTTGCTTCTGCAGAGCCCACTTTCATCTCAGTGGGCCTTCTTAGGTGTGTCCACTGCCTACATGGTGGCCCTCGAGCTGGGAAAGACCGAAGCATTGTCTAGAGCTGTCCCTGTCCCCAAAAGACAAGCTCTTACCCCAAGGCAGGGATGGCTTGAGGATGGACCCCAGGGATGGACTGTTATCTTCAAGCTTCCAATTTTGAAAACCAGTTCTATTCAGCTTTAAAAATTTTTTTTTGCACTCATTTTCTTCGACTGTGGTGCAGAACATATGGCCTTTCCTCCAGCATGTGCAGGACAGTGAACGCGTGCTTCATGGACGTAAGTCTCTGTATGTGCATAAGAGACACAGTGTGTATTGTTTGCAAGTCGGTGAGAGGCTGATGCGCTTTGCCATGGAAAGATGGGTTCGCTGCTGGCTTCTTGCAGCAGCCTGAGGCCCCGGCAGGTAAACTCCAGGACAAGAGAGGCCCGAGTAATACCACAGGAAAACCTTGCTCTGATCCTGAATGACTACATCAGGTAGCCCTAGAGCGACAATCCCCCAGTCTCAGTGGCTTGACCAGGCTTTTTCCTCACTCAAGTTGCATCCAAAGCACATTGGTGGCTGTCTTCCAGGGAAGTGACTCAGGAATCTGACTCTGATCTGCGTTGCCACTATTTTATACATGCAGCCACACAAGGGAAGAGACAGGCCGGACACTGCACTCAGGATTTCACGCCAGGCCTAGAAGCAGCTTACATCTTTCCCAGCTCCCTTCCACTGGCCAAAGCCCGGTCATATGGCTCCAGCTTAATTACTATGGAATTTTTGGAAACACAATCTCCTAGTGTGCTGGAAAAGATAATAGGATTGATATCTAGCCAGCCTCTGGCATAGGTGATGTTTTCTTTGGTCTATTAAATCCACAAACTTTGATCTAAATAGCGAAGGTAACAAAGAAAAAATGAAGGGAAAAAACTAAACAAGATAATCAGCACTTCCACTGGGCTCAGTATCCCCAGATGGCAGATTTAGGGCTGTATCAGTACGGGAACAATCATTCTACATGCTTAACTAGTCATTCTCCCCCTCAAATGCAGGAAAGCCATAGCAAATAGGAACTGTTTCTCCAAGGATCACACCAGCACTGAGATGATCAGGTCTCAGGGCGGCTGTGTCCACCAGGCTCTGGCTAAGAAACAAGGGACAAGTCAGGGCTGAGAATTACACTCACCACTATGCTGTTCTCAAGTGGAATTAGGACCCAGGAGGGAGTTGGAGCTCCAGGACCTTCCCAGGTCAGAATGGGGGCTCTGGGGTCTTTCCTGGCAGGGTGAAGACTTCAACAGAAGGAAAATCACACTGAGCCTCTGCACCTCCATGTGCCTCCTGGCCCCCAACCCCAGGGAATTCCACCACATCCTGCGGTAGCCCAAGCCAGACTCCGGTCTCCCTTACCTGCTGTCTACATGGAGTCTTCAACTGCTGCTTCACCTCCTGCCTCCTCACCAGGGCCTCCCGCTTTCTGGGCATCACTGCCACTGTCCAAGCTCATCGCTGCTCCCCAGGCTTCCGCCATGACCCCTACCTATCTGTTCTCTCGGCCGCCAGCTTGTACGGCTGCTTCACACTGAGCACTTCGAAAACTGAACTCCTACCCTGCCAATTCCCTGCTTAACACATCACATCGTCAGCATCCTGGGCAGGACCAGTGAGGACCCCCATTGCTGGCTGCTCGCTTGATCCCCAACCCTTCCCTCTCATCATCGCCCCTTCTCCCAAATGTCCCACTTGCGCTTGCGCTGCCCAGAGGAACTGAGTTCCTTGCCTCCCACCATGGGCCGTGGCTCTTCCTCTCTCAGGCTCCTGCTCTCTCACATTCTCCTGCTCCTCACGCACCTCCCTACATAGACAGAATGGAGAGGACACTCCTCTGCAGAAAAAGGAAAGGAGTTATTTGAACCCAGTGTCACTCATGTTGAAGGGACACTGTGACCACATTGTTTATCCTAGCCCCAGCACACTGTTTGGCAAGGATTGGGGTCGAAGGATTGTCATTAAGACAAATAAGCCTCTCCGCATGGGGCTGTAGTGTGTGTTCTGCAAACTGCACAAGGGACCCCCAAGTCCTCTCCAGTGTACTTGGGAGCACATGAGGCCTCGCATTTCTGTGGCTGGTGATCTTGCAGGCAACCTGTGCTCATTCCTCTTCCCACAGAGCTGGCCTTGCTCAGCCTCTGAAGTCAGCAGCAGCCACAGCAGACAAGACACTACTGGGGCTAATGTTTGCAAGTCTAAAGGAAGCCCCGGGGCCTGGAGCTCAGCTGTCCCTCAGAGCAGCTTGCAGTGTTCTGGAGGAGAATGCATGGGCACCAGGGAGCAGCACCTGCAAGGGCTATGCAATGCCAGGGAGGACAGGAACAAAGGACAGAGAAGCGGACCCAGCCTGGTTAGCTCACTGGTTAGAGTGTGAGAAGATGAGGGTGCTCTGAAGTGAACTCAATGAGTACTTCCGAGTTCTCCACGGAGAAGATGAGAGACAGCAACCACATCCATCCTCTGGAAGAGGAGCAGCACCTCCACAGAGGACTTCCTGGGGCTGCCCAAACCAAGTGTGGGGCACAAGACTAGGAGAGCCAGCAGGCTGTGCCCAGGGTGAGAACCATCAGGAGGAGCGTGAGGGAGGATTCCTGGCAGCGTGGAAGACTGTTGTGCCTTCAGTGTCAGCAAAGAAAGGATGCTCCTGCAGCCAGGTGAGGGAAATCCGTTAAACTGGCCCTTTCATTCTGGGAGACCTACATAGAGACAGGTGGCTGATCCTGCCTGTAGCATCCAGAGAAGGGAAACCTAAAGCATTCCAAGGCTCCCTTGGTGCAGAACAAAGTGAGAGTAGAGATCAAGGATAAAGGAGTGTTTTCCATAGGCTTCCAAGGGCCATGAGGCTTGGGCTATTTTGAAAGGGCCCTTCCAACAGGTCTGCCTCTGACAGGAAGTTCCATGAAGGAAGATACTACAAGGCTAACATAGCATGCACCAGTACCCCAGCAACCCAAGAGGCTAAAGCAGGAGGCTCTCTTGAACCCAGGAGTACAAAGCCAGGGTAACACATAAGACCCTATCTCAATAGATGGACAGTCAGACAGACAGAGCCTGTGAGCAACAGACTTCCAGAAGAAGCAGCTAAGGGGGACACCAATATGGCCAGCCCAAGGGGAGGCACCTGTGACCACACAGAGGGAGGACACCATTTCAGAACCCAGCATGATCAGAGCTAGCACTTGAGTATCTGTCCCCCTCCAAGGCAGGCAAGGGTGGCATTCTCTGTATCTTCTGCCTCCACTTCCTCCTCTGCCTGTACCTCAGCCTGGAAACCAAGACAGCCTTGGGGGAGCAAGGGACAAACATAAAACAGGAAAAAAGAAGTCCTGGAAAAGCAGCCCACCCTGATATCTCCCCACTGCTGGCTTCCCAGCCAAATTCAGGCTGACATGGCTGGAGGAGGAGCAGCCTGAATTCGGAGAATGAAAGCTCTGACATCAGCTTAGCCTAGGCTTCATAAACCTAAGAGCAGGACTGCCTGTGTTGAGACCTAAATCATGGGACGGGTGTGCAAGAGAGGCTGGGAAGGAAAGGGAGAGGAAGCCATGCTCGATCTACCAACTAGGTACCTCGGTTACATGGGGGCAGGGTGGCCAATCATGTAAAACCTGGACCCATCTGTGGACAAGAGGACTTTCTGAAGTCAGCTGGGCTTCAGGGAAGCTAAAATTTTAACCAGAAAACAGACACCAAGCTGTTCCATTGTATTTATTCTGGCCTTTCTTAAAGTGTGAGCAGGCTGGACAAGGGGACCGCTGCAGATTCAATTCTCCTGCAGCCAGTAGCGACCCACAATTCAGTCCAGTCATCCGGGGATCTATAGAAGATTGGCTCAAGGACTCCTCACTCCCTCTCATGAAGATAGCAAAGCTCTTGGATGCTTATTTAAATAAAATGGCGTATTATTCACACAGAATTTTTATTCACTTTAAATCATCTCTAGATCACTGTGTACCCAATGCCATGTAAGTGTCACACAAACAGTTGCTATGCTCTATTGTTTAGAGAACAAGAATAAGGAAATATTCTCTACATGTGAAGTACAGATTCCATTTTCAATGAACATTTTCAATCTGCAGTTGGCTGAGTCCGAGGATGCAGAACCTCGATGTGGAGAACAAGTGTATTTACTATTCTGCTCAGTGAACAGTTATTTGTTAACACTGGAGCTTTGAGACTCCTGCACTGGCTTCGGGGAGGGTAGAGGAAGCCACAGCCAAGGCAGCCGGAGGAATTCTGTGCTGACATCTTGGGGATTTGTTCACCCTTCCTGGGGAGGGTTGTTGAATCCAGGCACAGACCCAAGAAGTGGAAAATGTCAGGCTTTGCTCAGCAAGTCCCTTCTGGGATGGAGAGAAACGAATGTGTGCAGAGGGAATACAAATGGGGAAAGTACTTCAGACAGCTGAATGAAACCACCAGCCTTTCTCTAACCCTGTAGGGGGAGCAATGAAAGAGATCCCTTGCAGAGAAGTTACTTCCGGGGGGGGGGGGGCCTCTGCCTCAAGTACACACTCGAAAACCTCAGTATTTCCCCTACCTCCAATGTTCCCCTCCTCTTCCTCCTCCTCCTCCTTTCCCTCCTTCCATTATTTCCCTCCTCTTGTTTTCTCTCTTCTTCCTCCCCCCACCTTGTGGTGTGTGTGTGTGTGTGTGTGTGTGTGTGTCTGTGTGTATGTGATGCTTTATTATTTTCCGGGCTTCTGTAATAAATCACCACAAGCTTGGTGGTTTAAAATGACAAAATTTTGGAGGTCCAGAACTCCCAAGTCACAGTGCCACCAGGGCCAAGCTCTCTACAGAGGCCTAGGGAAGGACCCCTCCCTGCTCCTCCAGATTCTGGTGGCTCCAGACCTCCCTTGGCCTGTGGCTGTACCACACCAGTCTCTGCCTGTCCCTTCTCTGGCCTTGTCCTCTGTGAGTCCATCTCTCCCCTTCTGTCTCTTACAAGAACACTTTTGTCTGACTTAAGGCCCACTGGAATTACCAAGTTGATCTTATCTTGGGATTCTTAACCTAATTACATCTGCAAGGACCATTTTTCCAAATAAAGTCACAGATTCCTGGTGTGTAAATCTTTTGGAGGGAGAAGGACACCCTTCAGCCCACTCGGGGAAAAAAAAGACAGCAATTCATCAGTTAATTACATGGGGTCAGGTACCCCAAAACTGGGGTTCCTGGAAAAGTTCCACAAGCCCGACCCCGCCTCATCTGCACCCAGAACATCACAGGGTCCTCGTGGCACTGCCTCTTTTGGGACTCTGGCCTGGGTCAGGTGAAGGGATTAGGAGGAAAGGACACAGCTGGGGCTCGGCCAGGGCTCGGTACCAAGACACCTCTCCCCGATGCTGCATAACGGAAGCTCTGGTGTTTGTGAAGAGAAAGGCAGCCCTTCTCTGGCTTAAAATAGAAAATCAATTGACTGTTGGGAAGCCAAGGTCTATTTTTCCAGGAGCGACTCCTTAAACAAGCACCACTCTCTAGAGAATAGGAATTGAATGTACTTGGTAAAATTTGAAGGCTGCTGTAAATGTAAGACATCACACTATCACATCATGATTATCAAGAAGCAATGAATTCTTAATATATGCCTGGAAATCCCCAGGCCAGATGTCAGTGGCAGCACCAATAACAGGAAAACCCTGAGCCAGGACCTCTTCAACATGGACCTGGCCTGAGTGTGGAGATGGGTGTGCACTAAGCAGTTTACTCCATCATCTCTAAGTCTCATTTTTCTTGCTGTTAAATGAAAACAAGAACATCTCTCTAGCTGTCCTAAAAATCCCATAAGTAAAATGTACCATTTCAGGTCACACCGCCAGGGACTGATACCTTGAGGATTCCAGCCCTGATCCTCCTGACTCTAAAACCAATGAGCATGACTGCGGTGCATTTCCCACTGGTGTGGGTTGGTGCAGCAAAGGACAGTTTCTGCCATTTTTCACGCTCTCGGAGATCATCTTGTCTCCCTCATTTCATTCACTTGTGCAGACTTAGCAGCATCCTGGAGAAAAATGAGGAACAGGTGTAGTCTCAGGGTCTTAAGACTTGGTGAGTCATGACTGAGTCCTAGCTGATGACTCTAGTATTCTCTAACACTGGAATCAAGTTCTTGAGCCATGGTTCTGTCGTGCCTCAAACTGGCTTGTGGGAAAAGATTACAGGAGAAGAGGCCTAGTGCTTTTCCACGGGTATGTGGGGAAACCCTGTTGAGGATGGCCAGGATGTTCTTCAGGAGGTTCAGTGTGGTTGGGGGAAGGGAGATCTAAGTGAAAACAGAAGAATCTGTAGTCAAGTGTAAGGAGAAGTGTAAACTAGGAGTATTAGGGCATCTGGAAATTGCATCACAACATGGTTTGTCGATGTTCCAGGTCAAGGCTGCCCGCCCTAGCTTTCAAGGACCCTGGCCAGCTGTCTGAGGGCTGGGGCAGGCTGACATTCTCTGTTTCCTTTAGCTGAGAACCCGAGCCAGTGCCTTTGTGTTGATTTGTTAGGCACTGAGGAGGGTGAGGTACTGCTTAGTAAATTTTATAAGACCCTTCCACCCTTCATGCTCGCTAATGCCCTGAAGACAGTGACCCAAGCCCTGTCCTCCAAAGACACCCCAGGGAATACTGTCCTCACTGTGAAGGCCACCTCCTTGGCCACCTAATTCTTTGCCCAAGCTTGAACCTTGGAGCCCTTGTTAATCCTACCTCTCCACCACAGTGATTAACCAAGTTTTGAAAATGGTGTGCCAGGGTAGCAGAGGGTTTGGCTGCTTCAGAGCCCAGGGTTCTGAGGTCTCTACTAGCACCTTTCACCTTAGACTCTGCTTCAAGGTACAACAAAGAGCTCAGCTCAGCTCCCAAAGAGCCATGGCTCCAAAGCTTTGAGTCTAGGAAGATACTCCGGAGATTTTCATGGCAAGAAACAAGGTGTTGCTTCTGAGGGAAAATCGTCTGAGATCTGAAAATCTGCCCCCAGTGAAGTCATCTTAATTATGCAAATTATTTAGATCCTTGCCTCATGCCACTCTACTCCAGAAGATGGCCTAGATTTATGAGTTTCATAACCAAAGGTCTATTAAAATATTATTCTGCAACTAATGAAGACACTTTCTCTCTAGTGAAACAGAAGCACTTTAGGCAGCTTTAGAAAAACACAGTTCCTTCCTATATGGGGGTTCTCAGGAACAAGGAAGAAGAATTGAAGCTCCACAAGACCACCCTGATAGATCATAGATGGAAAGAAGAAAGAGTGGGGAGAAAGGAAAGGAAAAGAAAAGAAGAGAAGGTAGGAAGGAGAAAAAGCAGTCATGTGTTAGCTTTGCAAATCCTTGGCCAGTACCTCAGTTTGGGTTGTACAACTGCTCAGATCCCTCATCAGCTTGGAGAAGGAAAAAGAGACTTCACCTCTGAGAAGTGCCAGTCTGCTACAAGGCCTCTGAAGTATCTTGGTAAGGCTACACACACGGTACTCATCTAAAGACTCCTATTCCTTCAAGATAGAGAGCAGTCACCACACCAGGTGGCTGTTGGGACCTGGTACAGTAGCATGGATCTCACAAACAGTTCCTTACAGTAAGACATGAAGGTAGGCAGCGGTCCAGCTGTGAATATTTTCACTTAAAAACAACAGCCCTTGAACTGGTGTTGCAAATTAGGAATGTGATTTGCAGCAAGATTGTTTTTTTTAAAAAGTCAAACCCTGCACTCACAGTTAGTACCTCCTTCCATGAAACTATCACGATGACTCAACTTAATCTTGGCTTATGGCTTATGGGCCTCTTTTGTTACCACTCAAATCTTTAGATCTGTAATTTTTCAGTAGAACCATTACTTTGAGGCTACACAGAACTCTTGTGTTTAAAAAAAAAAAGGAAAAGGAAGGAGGAAGGAGAAGAGGGGAGAGGAAGGGAGAAGAGGAAAAAAAGGGGAGGGGAAGGAGGAAGGGAGACCTGATTTAGCAGGACAGTGATTGCTTCTGCTTTCAAATTCTACCAATTAGCTCTAGCACATGGTTTTTCTTGGCAGCTTTCTGCTCCCCATCACAGATGGTATGGAAAAGTCTGGCTTCTGACTTTCTGGCTCTTCTTTCCTATTTCCTCTCTCCACAGCTAATTTAGGAAAGCCTACATGACACCAGGACAACTGTCAGGCGAGCCTCCTTTCCCCTGCCTTTGCCTTCTCCAGCCACCCACAGCCACATCGACTCCAGGTCCCCTCCATGACCTGACCCTGACAACAGGAAGTCAGTCAGCTTGCTCAGCCACACCTCTGGCGTGGGGACTCAGGGACCCGCACTGACTTCCGGACTCCTGCAAGCCCTGGTTGACTAGATACCTGGGATCTAGTCAACCAGGCAAGACCTACAAGCCTGCATAGTCTTGAGTGCCGCACACCTGCCTTTTGATTTGGATCACTGTCCAGAGACGGGCTGCGATTGCACCCTACTGACCCCTTGCAACTTTTCAGCCCCTCACTCACCCTCGGCAGGCAGCCCAGTGTCTGCAGTCACAGCCTGGCTCTCACCTTGCGGAGGCCCACCCATACCTCAATGCAGTCAATAAGTAGACGGGGTTTAACAGGCCACACGTGGAGCCCACTGTGACTCCAGGCTGTGCTGAGGCCAGCATTCCTGGGTGCACTGCTAACCCACATGCTCACAGTCTCGCTTAGCTTCCAGAAAGCACGGGTAGGTAGTGGGACAAGCGCTCTCTCCTGACAGCACAGCAGAGCAGCCTGAGGTTGCTGGGATTACAGCTGTAATGGAACCCCGTCTAGAATCTGCACAGGCCCAAGAAAACTTTGTTAAGTGCAGCTGTGACCCGTCACACCCTTAGTTAATGATTTCTGACAGTTTATTTTCCCTACAAAACAGCTTGACCCATAAAATTCCTTGGCAATCTAAGACTCGTGTGTTTGTCCAGCTTTATTTCCCAACATAACCCTATATGGGTCCTTCCCTTGACCACCTAGAGGCTGTTGACCACTTGCTGGACATACCAGGAGCCTCCAAAGTTCCGCGCCCTTAACCGTCGCAGTGCCCTCAGGTCCCATATTTTGTTTACCAGCCTGCTGGATTTCCAACATCCTCAGCCACGTTCCGCTTCTTTTTTGTCCTTACATTGCTAGAATCTAGCGCAGTGGTTGGAGCACCATAGACCTTCGATGGATATTTAACAAAAGCTGGCGCAGAAATCTGAGGATCACACTAAAGGTAAGGCTTAGAGATTGACGGTGGCCAGGACCTCACTAGGAGACAGAGCCCATAGTCCCTCCAGCTCCAGAAGTCAAAGAAGACTTTATTAAGGCAGACCGTTTGCTTTGTGTCCTAGAGAAACAGGCGGGTGAAGGCTGGGGAGGACAACTAAAGGGAAGGCAGAGAATGTTCCAAAGGACTGGATACGGTTTGCCTAGGACACAGGCTACATAAGATGGGGGTGGGGTAGTGGTGGGCTCCAGATTCTCATGGGTGGCAATGCTAGGCTATGCCCCCAAGGGTTACAGCATCATGCGATGATTCAGGCTCGGCTGTCACTTCTGCCTCTGGTAGGAAAGTTATCAAGTGAGGTTGCTAACGCGCCTGGTGAGAGGGCGAGCTCATGAGGTGGCAGTGGATGAAATGTCCCTGGCTTGGAGGGAGGGAAGCCACTTTCATTAGCAGTCTCTGGCCAACCTCAGACAGGGCTATAGTTCTGACTGCCTCAGTTTCACTCATGGTGTCTCTAAGACACTGTTCCAAAGCAGAAGAAAAGGGGAATGTCTAAGAAGCTGAAGACACAAGCAGTGGCCATACTTTAGTCCTGGCTTCAAAGGTGGATGGGCTGACAATCCAAGTTAGTCCCCAGCAAGCTGGAAAGGCCAGAACCAGGGAGCTGGGCAGGGACCTCAGGGCTGAGCTCTAAAGGGTTCCTCTTCTGAACACTCAGGGTGGCATCATGGTCTGTCCCACAGCCCTGCTTCTGGTCTCTGAATGGCTCAAGTGATGTCTGTTGTGGCTTCGTGATAAGGAGAACCTGGCCTCTCTGCTAAAAGCATCCTCAAAGATACACCAAGGAAGTGAGCCAAGCAACAGGGCTGCAGACTTCCTGTTCTAATTCCTCATTTTCCCACCTTATTCTGTAGCCAGGCCCCAGATCACTAGCTTTTGCAGTTTTCACCCCTATTAGTAAGACTTTTCCAGGTAGCCCCAAGCCTAGGGCACTGGTGCTCCAGTTCTGAGGGCCAGAGCAAGATGAGAAGCATCTCAGATCTTGACATGAGAGCTCTGTGTATAAAACGCGCACCACCAGTGTTTTGGAGCTCAGGGCCCAGCCTGTGTCCTTGTGCCATCACAGCAGGGGACTCACAGGGAGACGCTGGACTCCATCTGTTCCATTCCTGACCCAGTGGTAAACCCTTGGCTGCCTCTGGTTGATACGGAAGCAGAGTTTGGGGGAGGAAACGAGAGCAGAGGCCCAAATGTCCTGGAATATTTCTTGCATTGAAGTCTTTACACAGTGACTTTTCCATTTTAAATAAAGAAAGAAGGGAGTGGAGGAAAGCTAGCAGAAAAGATTAGGAAAATGAACAAAAGAGTTTTTGAGCAGGAGAGTGTTTTGTTTACTCCCTACACGTTGCATTCATTCGGCAATTGCTACCTTTCTTCCTTGCACAAAAACCTGGTCAGATGAGAGGATAAATTACCTGCCCGCAGCTTCCTAAAGCTTCACTGAGGTAGAAACTCCTCCAGAAGGATCGCGTGGCAGTTTCTCATGCTCCACTTCCTCAGTGACGCTGCAGGAGGCAGATAATTCCAGGAGCCGCATTGAGCTCCCCACTCCACTCAGTATGATAAAAAGCGTTTGCAACACCACAAATCTTCCTCCAAGAAAAATAATAAGACTGATTAAAAACTACAACAAAATACTAGCTTATGTCCCCTGAGAACCAGGACAGGCTCTGACCTTGAGCCCAGAGCTTGAGACCTTGACCTCCCCCAGCCTTGTTAATTACTCTCCCTTGGTGGAGAACGGAAGAGTCACATGGTTGGGCAGAGCAGCCAGAGCCTGAGTTCAGGGGACAAGAGAGACACAGATATGGGCAACCCAGCCCCACTCACTGCTCCAGTGATGATCTGGCCCTGACCCATCCTACATTCTGGGGATCTATCTAGCTCCAGCTAATTCTTTTCCCAACTATTCTAAGTATCACAAATATAAAGTGAAAACATCAAGCCTAATGAGAAGCAGCTGAGAAAGCCAACTTACTACCTGTGACCTCTTGCTTTCCCTGTGTCTGGGTCTGCCTTGGAAGTGCAGCTATTTAATAATGAGGGCATCTTCCTTCGACCTCTCTACTCTCCCTGTTCAGCCACCTGGAAGGTTAAGGGGGTGACACTATGTTTTGAACATAGCCCCCAAACGTTCAAGTGTTGGAAACTTAGGCCTCAAATTCAAATGTCAGTGCTGTTTGGAGGTGGGAATAGTGGGAAGTGCTTATAATAAATGAGGTTGTATGGGGTGAGGCCCCCATGGTGGCATTAGTGGCTTTGTAAGAATAGGAAGAGACAGAGCACAACGTGTCCTGTCTCACCAGGTGACACCCTCCACAGCACTATGATGCAGCGAGGATCAGCCCTCACCCAAGCTGAGGACAGGCTGGCTTCTTGCTGTTGATCATGCATATTTCCAGAACTATGAATCAAATAAGCTTCTGTTCTTTATAAAATATCTGGCCTCAGGTATTTTGTCATAGCAACAAAACATGGACTGAGATGAGCAGGAATTTTCAGGAACAAAATAAATATGGAAGAATGTCATTTTTAAATGTCCAGTCATTTTTGAAAACCAGTTGTGAAGTCCAGTGCATAGATTTGCATGTCTTTGCTGCCCACTGGCTCCATTTCCGAAATCCAACAAACCTTGGCTTCAGTCTGGGGATCTCCTGAGCTTCCCCAAGTCAAAGATTCCTTCTTCCACATTGCACAAAATATTCACTGTAGGTGGGACACACAATTTGACACAAAGCATCTAGGTAAGAAATCAAACTAAAGCAATTCAAGGTCTCACACTTAGCATTTTTATTTTCATTGGCTGAGAAAATCAGAGGATGCAATTCCTCCATTTGTGTGATTAAACCCAGCAGAATTCCTCTTTATTCCATTTCCCGAGTCACTCATCTTCTGTATTGTTACCATCACTTTCTAAAGCACTGAGGGAAGAAGGTTCCAAAGAAGCACGTCTTCCATCAGCTCTCTTGAGTGTTAGTTGTGTCGTACCTGGGCAGATTCAGTCAGCAAGGATATGGGAAGACACAGAGTGGCTTCTCATTACTGAGAGCCACAGGGTATCAGGGCAGCTCAGTAGCTGCCAGAACTTCAACCAAAGACTGATGATGCAAAAATCACCTTTCCTCTGTGTGCCATCAATCTGTAGTGAGAACACAGCATTTGCTTATTTCACATAGACTCTGGGGAACCCAACTACGGAAAATCTCTTCCAGTGCACAGAATCAAGGTACCTCCTTTCACACACTCATCTTGTCCTGGGGCTGCTGTAGTCCAGCACTCGCTCCTTCCTAAGAGAGACACGTGGGACATAGCTGATGCTCCCTCCCTGCTATAAATCCAGAAATTTAAGAGAGCCACAAAGAAATGAGAATTTTGCAGAGAATTTTGCAGTTGTCAGAAGCAATTTATAGGAGACAAACACTCAAATACTGGTCTCCTCCCAAGATCTCTAAAACCTATCTATAAATCAGCAATTGAGTTGCTTGGCAAGCTTTTGCACAAATAAAAATGCTGACCAGGAACCTCAGTCTATGGTAGAAAAAGATTCTTAAGAGACAAATGAATAATCAACATAAGAAAATGATTCACAGGACTATTATTACTGAAACTTACCAGTGCTCCTCAAGTGAGCTGGGGAGGAAGTACACTTTGATCTTCATTGTGGTAGACAGCTACATTTCGTTTGCATTGCTTGACTTTCTCTTGGGAAAAGCACTCCCCACCCCCTCTGACTTCCTAGAGTTGTCTTTCCTGTGACCTTGGCTTCCTTCACAGCAGTGAGCTTGGTCTGTGCCCTTGTTGTCCAAAAGAGGCAGCTTCTGAGATTCTGACTACAACTCTGCCTTCCTGCATTCATACCCTGTGTGGCCTCCACCCGTGGGGTACCAGAGCTGGTCCATGTGGCCAGTGGAACATGGTAGAAATGATGGTATCTCACATCCAGGTCAGCTTATGCAGGACTGGAGCTTCTATTTGGGTTCTCCTGCTCACCTCTTCCTGGGATATGTCACTCTGGAAGAAGTCAGCTGCTTTATGGAGAGCAAATTGAGACAACATGTGAAGAGGTCACACGACAATATGCCCAGCAACCAGAGAGAAACTGAAAGCAGCCATGTGGGTGAGCTTGGAAATCAAACCCAGTTGAGCTTTGGGAAGATGGCAGCCCTGGTCAATATCTTAACTACCACCTTGTGAGACAGCCTGAAGCAGAACCGTTCAACTAAGCTGCACCCAGATTCTTGACCCATAGAAACTGTTAGAGATAATGCATATTTTAAATTGCCAATTGTTGTGGCGTATATCTAGATGTGCCCTCAAAGCCTCATGTGTTCATAGGTGGGACTTTGGGGAGGTGACTGGGTCATGGGTATGCAACACTGGATCGTGGGAGTGATGTTGGGAGGTGAATCCTGGCGTGAAGAGGTGGATCATGGCAGGCATGGCCTGGAGGGGTCTATATCCTTCCTTCTCCCTCAGGGTTGCTCTGCTCCCTACTGCCATGCCATGGACTGTTTCTCCTAGGCCATGCTGCCAGCTGACCATGGACTGAAATAAACCT